AATAAGTGTACAATAAAGGTATAGAGGGATAGCTGTGGAAAGGGAAGACAAAGAATAGACAGGATGTAATAGAAGTCTGAAAATTAGAAGAAGCTGCAAGTTTCAAAGACTTGGGATTAATGTTTGTCTTAGCCTTGGTGTTTATTTGCCACAGCTAATACTGAAATTTTTAATGAAGGTCACCATCACATGACTCTATTGTATACAAAGGAACTTACAAAAACTAAACAGAAAGCACCAAAGCTACACAGAGTAACACTGTCTCGAAAAAAAACAAATAAACAACAAAACAAACAAATGAACTAAAAATAAAGAAAAGCAATAGCTTAATTTTTAAAAACATGTCCTGGAACTAAACAGAGTTCTCAAAAGGAACACAAATGGCCTAAAAACACTTTTTAAAGTGTTTAAAGTTCTTAGTTATGAGGAAAATGAAAATCAATACTAACTTGAGATTTTTATCTTACTACAGTCAAAATAGCTAAAATTAATTAAACAAGTAACAGCATAGACTGACCGTACTTCAGAAGAGAGGAGTGCTTATTCATTGCTGCTGGGACTGCAAACTAGTACTGCCACTATAGAAATTATGGAATTATGTATGATGCTTCCTCATAAAACGAAAATAGATCTACCTCAAGAACCAGCAATACCACTCTTAGAATATACACAAAGAGTCCTATATCTTACTACAGAGGTACTGCTTGTTTTTGTTTTATACAAGTGAAAATTTATTTTCCTATAGAATATATATTTGTAAAACATAAATATTAAAATTTCCCTCATTCTGTTTGTGTGACATGCATAAATACACATATAGTCATTGTCTAAGATTTCTTCCTTTGTTATATGCTGATTTTCATTATAATTTAATGAAGTAAAAAAACATTTTCCTAGAAATCTTATAATATTTCAACTTGAACATTTATTAAAACACCCACTCACTTCACCAATATTTTTTTCTATTGTTTTGTTTTAACAGAATAAAATTTATTAGACCGACTCCTATATACTGATGATAAACATGGTACCAAAATTAGTAAATTTTAGGTAAATTCATACTTCTCCTTCTATAGATGTTCAATCATAGAAAAAATTCAAATTCTCAAATAGGTCAGCATATGGGACATAATTAAATCATAAATGTAAGAAAACTTAGTGAGAATAATTTTTTGCATGTTTCCTATATTTATCTCTCTGTATGTGAACAAGAATATATAAAAATAATACTCCATGAAACATATTCCGTACATCTTCTCTGTTATATATTTATTCACATATAATATAAAGTTTTACATATTACCTTAAGAAATTTTTGGAGATAAAATATTACATAAGGGAGTGAACACTTTCATTACTCACCTTTAAAGACTTAGTCAGAATATGTGACTAAACAGAAAACAGTTCATCTTTGTACTGGAAGTCATCAGAATCACTGCTTATACAGCAATCATTACATGGATCTTTAAACTGAATTTTAAATTAACACTCTAATCCATGAAAATTTAAAAGTCAATAGTTAGTTTAAAAATTAAAAGTATCATTTAAGAAAACAATTTAACATACTTTGATTATTCATATTCAGTCATGAAATTCATATACATACATATATGTATATTTTGTTGTTGCAGCTACCTTCATATATACCAAGGTGTGTAGGTATTCAAAGTCAAATATAAAATTATTATAAAAGAAGCAGCATTTTTAGTTCTCTAGGGAAGGTACAGTGCATGTTATAGAACTCTTTTCTAACCATATCTCAAAAGACAGTTCTATTATCTTTGGGAGCACTGTGCTTTCCAAAGCAGAACACAGTGGAACTGGAAGGCAGCACCATAGATAGAAATTCTTCCCCTGGTGACACATTTAAAAGTTTCATTTCCCAAGCCCATTTCTAAAGCCAACTTTAGTTACATGAATTTCCTTTCAATAAAGAACCTACCAATTGCATCACTGTGTGATTTTTACAGAGAGTAAAGGGCTAAGAGAACAGAAATTCCCAAAAGCTGAGGGTTCTCTGGAGGACCAAGTGAGGCTGCTCTACTGGGCACTGTGGGTTTGGACGCCTACAAGAAGTCCAAATTGGTCCCTCAGGGCATCACACACTTTATACTAATAAATATCCAATGCAGTAAGGTTTAGAATTTTAATTCCAAAAATTCCACTTTATGCTATTGTTTCTCCTCAGAGATGGCAATATTGACAAGTTTAGACAAACTGTACAGATGATATTCCATCCTCTGAAGGCTTTGACTAGGATGGTTTTGTGAAGGTTAACCAAAATATGACTTACGGCTAGAGAACTAAATGCCAGCTGCTTAAACTATGGAGTTTGATCCCATGTGGAATAATGTCACAGTGCCAACTCTGAATCACAACAACCCAAAATTGTTTTTTCAAATTCAAATAAGTAGTGAGCCTGAGGTAATTGTGGCAGTGATTGCAAAGTTGCCGTGGGACAAGTCTTGGTACTGAACTAAGTAGAACTACAGACAACTAACGCAAGTGGGAGAAGTTGTCTTCCCCGGGGAAGCAGGCATTTACTGGTTACCCAACAACAGTCATCCCTAAGAGCACACACTGAAGTAGCATTATGCAGACAGAGCAGGTTGTGCTTATGTACTTGGGACTATATATACAGAAACAATTTAAAAGGGGCCATAGATTTGAAAGAGAGGAAAATGGTGTATATGGAAGACTTTGAAGGGAAGAAATGAAAGGGAGCAATGATGTAATTATATTATTATAATTATATTATAAAGTCAAAAAGTAGAAGAAGTAATTGTTCTTAAAAGTACACATTAATCATGACAAGCAAAACCAATGAAGTCATTGTTGAACAGCTTCATTCAGAGTCCAGACTATTTATGAATTGTGCTGTTGTTGGGGCTCATGCAAAGTTTTTTTTCTCTTAGAGAAACAATGGTATAGTTGATGAAAGATTTTTAATTTTTTCTTAACATCATTCCTCATCGCATCAGAGATCTGAAATGGAAAAAGTTAAGTTCTAATACATATTTTCTTCAGATATCTATCTTGCATTTGCAAGACTGTTTGATTTGCTTCCATTTGTTAGTAAAGCTGTATTTCATAAAATATAGGCTATAAAGTCAAAGACTACAATTAGTCAGTAGAACAATACTCATGAACATTTCCATTCAGCAGTCATCTCAGGTGAATTCCTTCTTGTCTTGCAATAATGGCTGTTTTGTGTTGAGGTTATAAGCATCTAATGTCACTTCCTTCAATTTGAAGAAACTGTTAGCGTTTTCCATCAAAGGCAGTCTAATGTGAGGGAGGGAACTTTATTACAAATAAGCCTTGCAAAATTAACATGTAAAATGTGTGACTATAGAGACAAGATTATACAAATATATAAAATACACTTGAAGAAATAAATTTATTCATGAGTTTATAAATAATTTAAAGTATTTAGGCCAATACTTTTAAAGGATCAAAAGTAAAAGGTAGAAAAAATGATTTAGCTAAGAATAAAGATAAACTTCTAAAGGAAATGTTTACTTTAATATTTGTAAAATAAATCTCATAGGCTATATAATATTGTAAAAGTTTCCTACAAGTACAGATCAAAATAAACGACAATAAAACCAAATATTATCATAGACAATATTTTTAGAAGAAATTTTGTTCTTTTGCTATTTGGAAACTTAAAATAGAGACTCTGAAGGCTATAATAAAGAAATCATACTACTCTGAAAATGTATTTTATCAAGAGATTTGTAATAGATGCTATTTTTCACACCTAAATATTTAGCCAAAAATATGGGAAACTTCTTGGAATTATTGAATCAACAATTCCTAAATTGCTTTTTATTTATTCACAAAGAACTTATTTTTTCATCAACTATGAAACTTTAGTTCTCCTTTTTTATGATCATTTTCTTTTGCAAATGTTTGCAAAGGAGCCACATTGAATGAGGAATATAACTATATTCTTCATTGTTGATTCATCCAATTCTATGTAATAAATATAAAGTAAAAAATTGTGAGAATAAATTCTTAACCAGTTTGAGAATTGAGGGAGAATTTATTGCTATAGATTTTCATTCTTATCTTCCTAGTAAATTTCACATAACTGATATACTTTCCTTACCTTCCAATCAATTATTGTAACAGTGGAAATGGTGACCACAAGACCAATTTTTGACATTTCTTTTACTATACCAAAACATTCTAATATTATAAATTCCTGAATACCTCAAAACTTGAAATATTAATAAAAATATATGAGTTAGAAGCATGAGCAATGATTTGTTTTAATACTTTATCATTTTAAACTTATTCCAATTTTCAATTATCTTCCTAAAATCCCCCAACATTGTTCTGAACTCTTTATTATTTCTTAAATGTTTGTCCTGAAATTCTAAATTTCTTAGGGAATATACTCTACCAAGAGATGGAGACTCATTTTCACCACTCTGCACATGTCAAAAATGTAAAAAGCCACACTGACTTTTTGGTCAAGGAGAGTGGGGTGAGATGATTCAACCATGTTCTTGCCTCAACTGAAATTATCTTTTCTTAATAATTTTGTACTGTTTCTAAGTAGTATTTCCAATTATTCCTTATCAATTTGGAATTCCCTAAGAGTACTTAAGCCAGACAGTGCCCATCTTTACAAGCACTCAGGGAGGCAGAGGTAGGCAGATCTCTGTGAGTTTGAGGCAAGCCTAGTCTATAGAATGCATTCCAGGACAGCCAGGGGTACACAGAGAAACCCTGTCTTGCAAAACCAAAAAGAGAAAGATAGTCTGCAGAAGCTAAATGCTCAGATGCAAAAGCAAGTAGTGTTTGTGAATGCTGTAACTGTGGGTTACATTGCCAAAGTTCACTGGGAAGTGTAATGAGAAACTCATTTCCTTCACAGGGAGCTCAGGAGAATCTGGTGACCTGGCAGAACACATTCTAATCCATCTTTCTACTGATTGCTCTGCCCTTTTCAGAAGGAAGAAATGCTCTAAAAATTATCTCGCTACTATTTATTTCTTCATTTTTCTTCTCAAGGCAGTTATTACCTCTTTGTTCCTCAGACTGTATATAAAAGGATTTAGAAAGGGAATTATTATTGTGTAAAACAAAGAATACATTTTGTCATTATTTTCACTTGACCCCGACCCAGGACGCACATACATGAGGAAGAGAGTGCCATAAAACAAAGACACAGAGAGCAGGTGGGAACTGCAGGTAGAGAAGGCTTTGCTTCTGCCTTTCTCAGACTTTGTTTTCAAGATAGCAAAAAGAACATAAAAGTATGAAATTATAATAGTCATAAAAGTAAAACCTTGTATAAAAGCTGAAAATATTAAAACCAGAAGGACATTAATTGTAGGATCAGTGCAGGAAATTTTGAATAGTTGCAAAATTTCACAGTAGAAATAATGTATGATATTGGATTTGCAGAAATTCAATCTCACTAACAAACTCACATGAATTGCTGAGTGCAGAAAACCAACAACATATGAAACATTTATAAATTGCATACAGAGGCTATTTGACATCATTACTGGATAAAGCAAAGGATTACATATAGCCACATATCTGTCATAGGCCATTGCCGACAGAAGAAAACATTCTGTGGTTGCACTGGATCCAAAGAAATAAAACTGGGTGAAACACTCAACCAAGAATATTTTATGATCCTTAGATAAAAAATTGACAAGCATCTTGGGGGTCACAGAGGATGAAGCACATGCATCAGCAAAAGCTAAACTTCCCAGGAAAAAGTACATGGGAATATGAAGGTGAGGGTCCTTCCAGATGAGAGCAATCAGTCCAAGGTTGCCCACCACAGTGATGAGGTAGATGATGAGGAACACCAGGAAGAGAGGAACTTGCAGCCTGGGCTGATCTGTGAGCCCTATCAGGACAAGCTCAGTCACAAGAGTCTGGTTTCCTACTGTCATGTCTGCCCTGGACAATCACTGGAATGAAATAACAAGTAAGGAACAGTCAAAGAAATGACATAACTATCATGACTTGTGCTACTGACGTATTCCTAAAGGGAGCTTCTTGGTTCATTTGTGTGTACCTCTTTTCTATATTTGTTAACTTTCAAAAATTCATAATCTATTATTAAGTTAAAATATATATTAGCATCATGTCTTTTTCTTCCTCTTCATTCCTCCAGTGTATCTCTTTTTACTCTCTCTAGTCCTCAGACTCTCTTTCTTTTTTGTTTATATTTTTATTTATTTATATTTATATATCACATATATTCCTAAATATATAAGCACAATATTTTAGTCCATATAGTGTCTACTTTTATACACAAAGTATATCCTCAAAATAACTCACTTCATATAGATTATTTGTTTTCAGTATAACAGGTTTTAAGAATTGTGTTATTGTCTATATTTACAATTCAAACATAGAAACGGATTTGAAGATTTTTGTAATTTCAATAATGTAACATTCTATTAATTTCTATATTTTCTGTCGCTTTATAAATATAAATATAATATAAGTATAAATATAAAATTTACTATTTCCATGAAATAAAGATTTTATTTATGACTAATAAAGAGTATCTGAAGGAACTTGGTTTTCTTAATTTTTTCTTTTCAATATAAGGTCTTACTATATAGTCTTTGATGGCCTGAAACTTGCTTTGTAGAATAAATCAACCTTGAATACACAGTGATCCTCCTGCTTCTGTCACCCGAATGCTGGGTTTGCTAATACATGCTTTTATTTTCTGCTTAATATTTTTGAAAAGGAAAAAGTTCTTGGAAGGATGTATGTGCCTTGTTGTGTTTTTTCCACACTTGCCAAATTCCTTAATTATAGGATCATATTTACAATGCTTAAGAAACATGAAAATATTGTATAATGAAAAAAATTGTATAAAACAGGGATTATACAATTTTAAAATATAACTAAACACTACCTTTCTAGAAGTTAAAAATCTCCATAAGTAACCAATTGTGAAATGTCAGGTTATTTTCACTAAAAATCCATGAAGAATGAATGAGCTTCAAAATTCTTACCTGTATATCGTACTAAAAGAACCATTAAATGAACAAGCCCAACAATGCTTATATTATTTCCTTTATTTTAGCAGACTGTAAAATAATCACAGCATTTTCCTATTCTCTTTTCTCCATATAACTCCTCCCAGAAACCCCTCCTTGCTCTCTTTCAAGCTCATGGCCTATTTTTCATTAATTTTAAAATGATTTTAAGTTGAGAACTTTCTTATTCTAAATATAAATTAAGTAATATTTGAGCATGAGATTGTACTTCAGTTAGAAAAACATTCAAAACTTACATTCCACCTACTAGAGTAAGAATATCCTTATTATCAGGTACGAATCTTGCAAATAATACTGTTGTATAAAGTTTTCTCTTCATAAATTTTAGTCTTTGATACACAAGATGTATAAGGATCCTATTGTTATATTTGTTAACCACCAATAGTCCCATTATAAATGAAATCAAAGTTTTTATCACACACACACACACACACACAGAGAGAGAGAGAGAGAGAGAGAGAGAGAGAGAGAGAAACACACAGAGACAAACATATGCTAAAGTCAAAACTTACTCAATTTAAAAGCAAAAATAAATAATATTTGAGCCTCATAGAGAAAAATTTACACACAATTTGAAAGTGTTGAAGCTTACTTTCTCTTACTGGAAGTTTATATCCCTCCTTTCTGAAAATTTTGTTACCTTCAGGAACAATAAAATGTCTATTGCTTGTGTTTATGTGGGTAATTACTTGCACTAGTATATATTTGGGGTGCTGATTTTCTTTAAGATTATTTAGTACTTAAATCTTGACTTTGTTATCTGCAGACACATTGCAAAGCAATAACAGAATTCTGCAAAAGAAATTTTCACTCTCACCTAAATCCTTTAAAGCAATAGAAAATGGAACACTGCTAGTTTTCAGGAAGAAACACAAAAAGTATAGGAAGAAGCAATATATTTGTGTGGACATTCCAGACCAGGAGACATAGCAATTGTTATTCCTATATCAAAATGGTTCTTTTAAACACTTCAAAATTCCCTGTATACATCCCAGAGATCCTCAGGAGAATGAAGTCAAGGTTGTTCTGGGCATAGTGAAATAATCAACAAATTATCCACGTAACTAGTTCCACTGTGTGTCCTGCAGCAGCCTGTTTATAAAATATCAGGGAATAAGGTTTAGAGAGAGATTCCTCTTTTTTTACCCAGTTTTTCTGATCTTTTTATTTCATCATTTTATTGAAAGTAATTTTTTTTCATACTTTTTGACTATGATCCCCTATTCCTTCCAGTTTTTGTCTACCTCTCTTCCCATTCATATCCACATCTTTTCTGTTTTTTTTCCTTAGAAAACTAACAAGCATTTAAGGACTAATAATAAAATAAAATAAAACAAAGACAATTTGAAATGAAATAAAACAAACCAACAGATGAAAAAGAACTAATGAGCAACCACAAAGAGCATATGAGTACAGAGGCACACTTCATTTCAATACACAGGAATCCCTTAAATCAAAATTGACATGCAAAAATCCGAAGCCTTCGGGACACAAATGGAAAATGGACTGAGAAAAAAGTCACGGAAATAACAACTTTCACAATGTACTAAAAAACGTATTGGGGTAACTTTAACCAAGCAAGTAAAAAACTTATTTTTTATAACTTAATTAACACAGTGATTTCTGCTTAGAAATACCAAATGTGCCATACACTTCACATATTTGTTGATTATATCCCCAACTTGGACTTCCTATCTCAGGGGACAAAAGTACTCAAAACAAACAGAAAAATATCCTCGAACCTTTGCCTCAATACCTTCATTTCCACCACTGTCAAGTTTCCGATTTTATTAATGTATAATAAAAATAAGTTTTTCTCTGTCTCTTTAATTGATCTAAAAATTCTAGAGGCTGTTCCTTGGAAGTAGAAAATACTGGGAGAGAAGAGAAACAAACACATGTTTGTTTCCAGCTGATCAGCACTGAAATAATCACACAGAAACTATACTAGCTCCAATACTCTGTGGCCAATAGCTTAATAATATTTCTGGCTAACTCATATCTTAAATTAATCCATCTCCTTTAATCTGTGTATCACCATGAGGCTGTGGCTTAGCGGGTAAAATTCCAGCATCTGTTTCTGGTAGGGTTACATGGCTTCTCTCTGACTCAACCTTCTTTCTCCCAACATTCAGTTTAGTTTTTTCCCGCCTACCTATATTTTGCCCTGCACAGCCCTAAGACAGTTTCTTTATTAAACAATGGTATTCAGAGAATACAGAGGTGAATCACACATCAGAAGAAGATGGTGTAAGATATGCAACAATGGTCTACTAGAATTTCCAGGGGATAAATTGAGGAAAAATGAATGACGAATATCAGAAGAGGTGTATGATGGCTGCCATCTTTACTTTCAATAGTAAAGTAAAATAGGACACTTTGTGTAGCAGAATAGGAAAGTAGTCTTTCCAGATATTATCCATGAATCATGAATCTGAGCTGGAAGGGTTTGTAAATTCTGCTTGAGTTTAGTGAAAAGCAAGCTTTCATGCATGATGTCTATGGAAGGGATCTGTTGTTGCTAAGACTAATTAGTTCATAGTGGAAAGGCTGAAAGGAAACTGAGACTCTTCAAATACAGTGAGAACAACTTAGATGTTTTTTTCAAATGATGAATGGATAATAACAATATGGTACACATACACAATGAGTTCTACTCAGCTGAGAAGAACAACGAGATCCTGAAACTCGCGGGGAAAGTAATGAAATTGGAAAATATTGTAGTGAGTGAGGCAATGCAAAACATGTTCTCTCTTTGCAGATCTTAGCTCAGAGGCTTTATATTTGAGTATTTATCCTGATAACTACAGAAGCCAGGAACATAAAGGGAGACCATGGGGAAAGAGGGAAAACAGAAAAATTCTAGAAAAGAGGATAATGTGACACAGGAGCTATGAAGGGGAAATAAAAAAAAAAGGAGAGAAATTACAACTTTGGAAAGGAGAATGAGGTTAATACAGAGGGAGAGAGAGAAAGAAGAGATAACTAACCCTTTGAGTACTTAAAAAGGCTATGGGGAAAGTTTAAATGGACATTACATGGGGCCATAATGGTTCTTTCAAGAGCCATAGACTTTCTAATGGAAGATCCAGTTTAAGGCTTAAACTCCCTTTCAGTTGTTGAGGGGAAGGTATCAAAGAGATTCACCAAACAATATGCACTATTGCTATTGTCCTTTATTGCATCCCAGAACTTAAAGATAAGACCCCATTGCTAAAATAAATCATGCTTTAAATACAAGGAATCCATATGAAAGTGATCTGCAAGACTCCTACCTAAGACCAAATGAACACAGGACCTGAACCTAAAGGTACCATGCAAGTTGCCAGGGGAGAAAAAAGATCAATAATCCTACCCAAATTTAAAAGGTACAAACCATGTCCAACCAGGAAGATGCCCACAGAGGCAAGGTAGCATTAGTGTTATTTTTAGGGTAAACAATGTTTGTGTAAATAAATATAAATAAGGCCCACTCAGGATGGAACTTCTGCCCAGTACTGCAAACTTAGCCCACAACCTGTGGCAGTAGACATCAGAGGTCCTAGGTGGGAACCAACTATTGCAACTTTCCTATAGCAATATAATTTCAAACTGTATTCTTAATTCTTATTTGTATAATCACAAATAGGTATTACTCTTACCCCTCAGCAATGAAACATCTTTCTTCAGCAGGTGGAAGCTACTAAGTTCAACAACCATTCTTTTGTAAAGTTAAGCCCACTAATAGGTTATCCAATCACAAATGGCCAACTATAAACCCATATATAAGAAAAATAAATAAATAGGTTCAAGTGTGTGTGTGTTTTGTGTGTGTATGTGTGTATACATGCTGTAATTATAATCATATAAAAGTTCATAAAAATGAGTGAAAT